TTCATGTATATGTATGAAAATGCTGGACTCTAAAGGCAACAGAAAGTCATTTTGGCACAATTTTTGTGACTTTTTTGGGATGAGGCCAGTTGCATATTTGGTCAGATGATACTTTGTTTGGCTTATTGAAGAGTGTGTTGTTGATTTCTTCACCATAGTGTGTATAATCCAGATTCATTCACTTTAAGCTTCAGCTTCCCTGCAACTCTTCCTGCAACAGCATTTCCCTCTGAATATCTACAAAGAGCATTTAACTTCATTTTAATGCCAAAAAACTCATTAAGTCTCAATTTGGAGCAAATTAAATCTTAATAAACTAAATCAGCATTTCTGTTCCTGCCTCCTGAATTTAGTCTCCTCCAGCTAAAATTTCAGCTATGGTGACATCCGTGTTCTTAGTTAAACCATTTATATCCAGACCGGGTTTCATAGCATCCGACTCATTTTTCAGATCGATTTATTTTTTTAGGTCTATGCATCTGTTTGTTACTTGCTATTCTCTCTGAGAGCTAATAGACAGAAAACTTGTGAGGAGCTTGTGATTTTCTATACTGTAAATTCTACCAAAAGCATATGCTTTGTTCTCTTTCATAGTAGGATGTATGAAAAGTTGTGCAGCATCTCAGTTTACAGTACAGTACATCCAGCCACTATTGTTTCCTAGTAATAGCTGAGTCAGGCATCCTGTGTCCACCTAAGGTACAAAGCTATTTCCCATGGTCTCAGCTGTAATATAGAGCACTTCCACTCAGCACAGTAGAAATCATTACTGATGCTAGACTACCACACAGTATTTATACAGTCATGTTTCAGTAGGAAGGGTCATGTGCACTTTGTAATGTAGTGCTAAATACAAAGACCTAACTGCAACCTTTAATGTTGTCTTACAATGGCAAAGTGATAGTTAAGGTGCATCATACTTTTTAACTATTGTTTAAAATAACAGATTGAAAATACACAAATTAAATCAAGAACACTTCATTTTGTTCTACTTATACTAGTGCTGAACTAGTATGTCCTACAGCCGCCATGAGCTTCATTACTGAAGGCTAGAAACAAGGATCTCCCGGGAATATGAGGATTTTTAAGACAGCATTTGCCATTTTTTATGTAAACGAGCCACTGCACAAGCAGACAGACATAGAGCATGATAAGATTTGTCACTCCCCACTGTGTCACGTGTACGTTTGACAAATCACACTTTCCTTATTTATATAGCCCTCATGCATATTTTCAAATTAGTTATGTTCCCTCTTATTTTGAAAGGTCAGTCGCTGCTAAGCCCTGTCCATCACAACTTTTAATCCTGGCAGTGAGAACTGTGTATAAAAATAGATGTCTGTTTGAAACAGTTGTTTAGTTCAACCTTGAGAAATAAAGCTGAAAGACTGTACTTAAGTCACATCTTGATTGTTTGATTTTAATTCTACTACGGTGATGTACAAAATTATAAAAACATGTGCCATTGTATTTCATATACTTGGTGGTATCTGAACTGTCTACCCTGATTTAAAATGTGGCCAATTTCTGGTGTAAGATCGCCGTCTTCTGAACCTATTTTAAGACTGAGCCACTTCAGTATGGTTCTAACCACTTCCTCACTTGCCTCTGCAGTTCCCTCTGGTTCTCCTACTGTGTGTCAAAACCTAATTTCATTTTGGATGTAGGGAGGCAGGTTTGGGCAGGAGATAAACAAAGATTGTGTTATGGCCTAAAAATACATGATTTATTCATGAACTCTATGTTTTTTACAGCACAAGTGATATGCTGTAATATGAGGCAATATTCTTCTTCAGATGTTTTAGAATAAAACAGTCATAGTTTGTGTTGACAGTCTAGCCCAAGGATTCACAACATACAATCCTGTGAAATTAGAAAAATCATGAAAATGGCCTGGGTTGTACAGACATGTAAAAAAGTAATTTAGAGATTAGATGGAGCCAGTTGCTGCAGATCAAATGCATTTGATTAGTTGATCAACAAGTGTGACACCCCTCTGTCAAATCGTTTTGGCAGTTTGATCATCTGGAGTATTCAGGTGTGTGTTAATACTTTCCAGAAGAAGGTCAGACTGTAGTAGACTCCTTGAAATTCCAAAAATCCAGAGACTTGCATCTCAGACCCTAAAATCCTCAGATAGTATGTAAATATTAAAGTTCGTGACAGTGCAATTAGAAAAAGACTGAGGAGAAAGCCTTTTCTCTCTAAAGAGAACATGGCAGCATCACAAAGGTTTGCAAAGTTGCATCTGAAGAAACCACAAGAGTATTCCTTTGGACAGACAACACTAGAGCATTGTGATTTGCTGGTGTGTCCTTGGGATCATTGTTCTGTTGCATGTCCCAGCTTTGGCAAAGCTGTCAGACAGATGGCCTCATATGTGACTCTAGAATACAAAGCTGCTACTACAGAGCAGCTCATGCTCCACTCATTGACTGCAGAAGAGCATTATGGAAAAGTTAAAGCTCACTGTGAAAGATTAAACTAGTCACTTCCTGCATTTTAAAACAAAATAAGAAACATTTGAATAAATTATTGTGAAAGTAAAAAAAGTTCATCATCTTGTCTGCATCTGCCTGTAGCCTCTCTCATATCTACCATTTATGCTTTTTCGTCTCAGTCTGCAGCTCTCAACATCCTCAGCTTTGCTCTTCAGACCTTAAACCATCTGATTGTGGTGCTCTGCTCGAGTTTATTCTGCTTGCTCGGATTAGTCGTCCACTCTCTGGATACTCTGCTCAGTTCAGCAACAGTTCCCCCACTGCTCTGCACAGCCAACAACCATGGCTCAATATTCCATTTGCAACCCAAGTCCAAGAGCCGCTCCGTAATTATAACAGGTGGCTAATGCGGCTAATGAGTAACTGCTAATAGTTAAGGAGCTAATGTTAACATGTGCACCAGCCAGGTTAACATTTTTAATAACTGTTTATAAATGAATGTTTTGAAAATATTTATTGACCACTAAAAATCATCCCAAAGTGTAGTTCAATATCATGAATGTTAAATACTTCAACTGTTAGTGAGGGGAGGAGCTGAACGCCCGTCTGTCTGCAGCGGTGCAGCTAGAAGATATCGATCGTTGCAAGTGAACACTGTAATATTGTATGAATTGAGTGATTTAATTTAGTATCAATTAATATGTGAGTATCGATTTTTTGGACCACCCTAGTTGATGTGAGCTTGTTGTGCCGATGCTGTTTTTCACATGCAAAGCCGACACTCAAAAACACAGAGAAACAACTAAACCAAAGAGTCAATAGGGAGGACTTTGGAATATTTAATGGAAGCCAAAATTAAGTCAAGCTTAAAAGCCAAGCCAATGCATTTCAAATCCGCTCAGCTGTTTCAAAGAATGTCATGAGTCCTTTTGCTGTCAAAAATTGAAGGGGCCTGTGCAGTGTGCATGTGGAAAAATTCCACGTGAGCGTTTCAGAAGAGCTGAGCAGCTGTCAGATGTGAGCTAATAAAAATGAATGGGTACAAAGTCACACTTACCTGTGTCCCTGCATGCATACTACACTATATATACATGCATGTTAAACTCTCTTTATTTGTTTCCATGCCTAAATACTGTCTACTCATCCTTCAGCTGTCACTGTGTGCGCATGTGCATCCAAACATGTATGTGTGACTATAATTGTAGGTCTAGCTCATAGGCCACGTCTAAACCTAGCTAAGTCCTCAGCAGTTTCTATGAGTTAACTCAGTCTTGTGTTTCCTTGAACCAAGGTCATCCATTACTGTGACTTTACACTTAAGAGTTTGGGAGTACCACAGCATAGAAAGTCCATGAGCAGTCCATTAGTTTGTTTTTTATACTGAAAGATTATAAAATAATGAGAATTTATCTCTACAAATTCTCACTTCCATTCTCCACTTCCTGAACTGTTTTGATATTGCATCAGTTTTTGGTCAACTGAGTTATTGTTAATAAAAGTATTACATGTGCTTCTTTCTGTTTTTTAATTATATTAGCAACTAAAAGCTTGTTGTTATAAATACAAACTTCCCAGAGAACACTGGCAAATAAGCCGTAAGTTAATATTTTTTCATTTAACTTACATTGAAAGGCTCAACTTTTTAATATATGTAAAGATATACAAAAATGAATCTGAATCACAAATAATATAAATGAAAGGTGGAATATGGGAGTAGAAGCCTGGTTGAAAATTATTAAAATGGTCAAGTAAAAAAAAGCATTAGATCAAATAGACTAAGGTGTATTTACATAACAAATCTTCTATATGCCTATTAGGTTTTAACAATCTGAAGGAATACGTTAAAAAATAATATACTGAGATGATGGCAAACAAATACTAAAGCATTGATATCAGCTATGTAGTTCCTTTACATATCTATATTATTGCTAATATATATTGTAATATATCTATATCACTGAAGAACTTCTGCATAGATGCAAACTGCATTTCGTTGCCCTGTACCTGTGCATGTGCAATGACAATAAAGTTTAATTCTATTCTATCCTATTCTATTCTTTATCTTGTTGCTTTAATAGGCACACCGCTAACATGGACTCCAAACAGTAAACAGTTTAATAATAATAATGGATTGCATTTTTATATAGTGCTTTTCGGGACCCCTCAAAGCGCTTTACAATACCACTATTCTTTCACTCTCACATTCACACACTGGTGGAGGCAGCTACAGTTGTAGCCACAGCTGCCCTGGGGCAGACTGACAGAGGCGAGGCTGCCATATCGCGCCATCGCCCCCTTTATCCTCATTAAGTAAAGAAATGCAATAAATGTATATTGTTGAAAACATTCAAATGTTTGTATGCTTGTTGTGAATGTACGGCTCATGTAATTGATAAAAATATCTCTATTTGGTCATTATTAGTACTTGCTTCCACCATTTTCTAGTTAGATAAAACAATATGTTAGTGCATCTCTCTATAAATGTATAAGTGTTCATTTATGTGTCATAAAATGGTTTATGAATGAAAAAATACAAGATAAGCGTTACCATGTGCCTACCGTTGTACAGACTCTGGTGGTGGGGGGCAATCTCTTCACCCGCTGGTCTCCTGTGACTTCCATCCCTGCCAGGGGAGCCACTACTATACTTCCCCTTGCTGTGCTCCACCCCTGGGCTCTGATGATAGTGATAGTGGTGCCGTATAGACTCTGGACTTCCCACAATCACCCGCCCTTTTCTCAGGTGCTCAGGTGTGCCCATTGCTACCTGCTTGGCTTCAGGACTCCCAGCCCCTGCTGAGTTTACCTGCCGGTGTCGCTGACTCAGATCTGGGCTGGACTTAGCTGAGCCCTTGCCACTGCCTGGAGATGCCTGTCCTGACATCAGTAGCTGTTTCTGTGCTAGTAGGTCAGAGCTGCAGGGTTTGGAGTGGGAGCCACAAGGTAGCCTGGTAGGAGACTTGCTGTGTTTCTCTGGGCTGTGTCCTCGAAAGCTGTGAAGCTCTAGGTTGGTGAGGGAACCTCCACGGGGCCGGCAGGACTGGGGAAAGGTGTGGTACTCCGTGGTGGAGCTGCGCCTCCTCCCGCTGAATTCACAAACATCTCTCTTTTGTCCTGAAGAGCTGCATCTTGAGCCAGATCCAGGGCTTGAATTGGAGCCAAGAGGGGAGGGTTTATGGTGAGGGTTATCTGGGCTGTCTGTGCTCCCTGCGCTGGAGGTGCTGCTTCCATCGCCAACATCCCGCAACAGGCCTGGTGTAGGCATGCCACCGCCCAGCTGAGACAGGCTACTTTGACTGTCAATGGAGCTCCTGCAGCCAGGCCCTCCCTGACCACCACCACTTCCCCCTGTGCTTGCAGCCACAACTGTGGCCCTCTCCTCTTCTAACATGAGGCACACCTCCTTAAGCTCCAGGTTCTCCCGGATCACCTCCATCTGCCGCTGCTCCAGCTCCTTAAGCTTCTGCAAATAGATAGCCACTTCCTTCCTCATCAGGCCAGCGCTGTAGCGACCCAATCGCTGCCATTCCCGCGACACCCGCTTCCCTTTCTGCCGGTCGTCATCCAGGAAGCAGCACAGGTCCCTCAGCTCCTGGTTGTCCTCCTGCAGTTTCTGGTTCACGTCCTGGTTTACACAGAGCACGCGCGCACACACGCGCACACACACACACACACACACACACACACACA